CTTTAAATCCTTTCACTACATTAGAGCACTTCAAGACAGTTTTCCCTTTGCGAAGCTATTTCAGCTCTGTCCCAACTCACTGATGCTGAGGCTTTCAAACCTCTTTCATTTCAGCACCTTTTCTGGGCCTTAAATGACTGCTGAGGCTTTCCTGTGTTCCACCACCTTTGAAAACACAGGCTGTGTGCCACTGTTGCCAGTTGCTGCACCAACTGTCCCAGCCCACAGCTGAGTCCCCTTTACATGCAGTTGCCTGTTTGACACCTAAGGAGCTCTCTTGCTGCTCTGCTGTATGCTCGGAGCTTGTTTTCTCGTGTCTGCTGCATCCCCTACAGCTTTTCTCAGAGTTTCTGTTTTCTGGGCTCTTCAAGAACATGCATTTCTCTGGGTGGCAGCAAGAGGCATTCAGAAACTGCTCATGTCCAGAGTAAAAAAACTTCCACTGATACAGGCCCTTTGCAGCTTGGCCTCACCAAAACCCTGCTGCCCAGGATGTGTCTGTCTCTAGCTGTTCCCTGACTGCAAGCCACAAGAGCTCTTCACCACCTCTTGCTGGTGTTAGCATCACTCACTTGTCTTTCCTTCTCCCCAGGTGTATCTGTGACATCCAGTAACACAGGAGTGCCGGACATCTCGGGCTCTGTCTACTCCAAAACTCAGGTTAGTGTCTGCAGTGTGCTCAAGGAAGCCTCCCTGGGCAATGAGGTCTCTTTCCCTTGGAGCAGCCAGCTGGGGAGAAGGGAAAGGCCCTTCCAACCTAAGGCAGCTCCAAGCCCAGAAAGAGCCATAGGCAGAGCTTCTGCTCCACACACTGACTTGTGGAGCTGGGAAGGGGCACGCTGCTAGCCTGGGACAGGGCAGTGCCACCCATCACCCAGCCCTCATTCCATCATTGGCATCTCCTCCTCAGCAATCCTTCGAGAAGCAGGGATTTCACACTGGAACCCCGGCAGCCTCCTTCAACCTGCCTTCGGCGCTGGGCAGCGGCGGCCCCATCAACCCTGCGACAGCGGCAGCCTATCCCCCCACCCCGTTCATGCACATCCTGACCCCCCATCAGCAGCCCCACTCCCAGATCCTCCACCACCACCTGCAGCAGGATGGGCAGGTAAGCGGCTTCCCCAGCCCCCAGCCTTTGCTGGGGTATCTCCTAGGGCTTCCCCCTCCCCGCCTCCCCTGGCCCCCCCTCTCCCTCCCCCCCCCCCCCCACGCCCTGCGGCGGACACACGTGAACACGCGTGACACACACATGCTCACACCTGCACATACACACAGGGCCGAGCAGAAGATGAGGTGAGGAAGGGCCGGGGTGTGCTCTGCTGGGGGGTCCTCGGCACAGCCCCCTTGCTGCCGGGCTGGACCAGGTAGGGTCGGGTAGTGCCCCTCCACGCAGACATGCCTGGTCTGCCCTGAGCTCCCCCATTCCTCTTCAGGCCAGCAGCAAAGGGGTTACTTGCCACAGCCACAACCCCGCCATAGCTTTCAGGTCTAACCATGGATTTCTATTGTCATAGTTTGTCCCTTTATTTTTACATATCCTGGTACTGCAACAGCTTCCATATTTGCAGATGATACTGTGCTGCCAACGCCAGCAGGAAGATCAGGTAATGAACCTCTCTGATAATGCATTGCACTTGCCCTGGGGTCTCCCCCTGCCCCTAAGGCCCCCCAGGCTCACGTAGCCCCTTTCTTCTCCCCCATTGGCCCTTCGAGGCAAGGAGAGAGGCCCTCAGGCAGTATGTGCACACACACACACCTGCGCGCACAGACACACACCCCTGCTCTAACCTTTTCCCCACCTTTCCCCTCCCTCCCTGCCCTGCAGCAGCCCCCACAGAGCCGCAGGGTCCCTCGCTGCCTGCGCTTCTGCCGTGGTGCTGCTCTGGAGGCAGGCGCAGAGCAGAGGGAGGGTCCTGTGGCTGCTGCGGCTCTGTGAACAACGCCGCGCGGGGCCAGCAGCACCCGTGGCTCAGCACCCTGCAGAGCAGCCTGGGATTGGGACCCCAGAGGTGACAGTGCCGATTCTCCTCTCCATAACCACACACTTCTCCTCCCGCAGAGCGGCTCCGGACAGCGCAGCCAAGGCAGCTCCATCCCTCAGAAATCCCAGGCCAACAAGTCTGCCTACAACAGCTACAGCTGGGGAGCCAACTGAGGCCAGGGCCACCCTCGCCCCCCACTCGCTTCTGGAAGAGCATCCCACCAAGCCTGACACCGAAGGGTCCTGGGGAGGAGTGGTTGGTGGCGGGGCAGCCCGAAGCCCACAGCCCCCAGCAGGCCTAGCCAGCAGCCGCCTCCTCTGTCTTCAGCCACCTTTTCCTCTTGTATGTAATATAGAATTTGTATTTTTCTCTCTTTTTTTTTTTTCTCCCCTTTACTCCCTTCTCTCTGCATTCAGCCTCCGAACCGTTTGCCGTAGGGGCCTTTATTGGTTTTGACTCCTTTCTTTCCCCCCCCCCCCCCACCTCCTGCTGCCCCCCAGAACCTCTCGGATCCAAAGGAGTGGAAGCTGCAAGTCGCCTACAGCAACCCCCCCTTATTATTAGGAAATAAGAACAGTAATTGATATGAACAGCATTGTAAGATGAATTAGTTGAAGTGGTTTTCTTTTTTTTTTGTACCGTGTTCTAAATTTAATGGATAAATGTGTCTTGTATATAAAAACAAAAACCCCACCACGTCCTCGATGTCTCTCATTTCCTCACTCTCCCTTTGCTGCCCCGGAGTGGGTGTTCTGCACCCCCCGATTTACTTCTCCCCCCCTCCCCCCCCCCCGCCTTGCACGCTGTAAGTACCTTCTGCTTTTGGGCTCCAGATTGGGGTTTTTGGTTGTTTTCTATGCAGTCAGATCTTGTCTTTTTCAGTTCCAAATGCAGCCCCTGTGTGGGGGGTGCTTCACTAAAGAGAATAAAGATCACAAAGTCATGTGTGCATCTTTTCCTCCCTCCCTCCCTCCCTCCCCTGCCTGGCTCCGTCTTTTTGGGGCACGGAGCAGGTTCTCCTGCCTCCCCCTTCCCGGGTTTTTAGCGCCCTTTTGTGGGTCTTTCCCGGGCACCGGGATCCCCTTGTCCCTGCCCCGGGACCCGCCTCATGTTGCGGGTGGGGAGCGGAGTCCAGCGGGAGCCTGGGAGCGACGGGAGGGGAGGGTAGAGCCAAACGCCGGCGCCTAGGCCTCCGCGGCGGGGCTTAGGACCCGGCGGCTCCGCCGGCGCTTCGCGACAACCGGCGGCACTTTACGGCAGTGCGACGCGGGGGCAGGGGACGGCGGCGATGAGCTTCTACGATGCGTTTCGGGGCTTCTTCGGGTTCCCGGGGCCGCGGAGGTACCGGTTACCCCCCCGTTGCCACCCTCCGCCCTTCCCGGTTAAACCCGGTCCCCATTAACCCCCCTGGCCCCGGTTGCTCCGGTGTCTCAGCGCCGTGGTCCCGCAGGCCCCGGGACCCGCTCTTTGGCGGCGCGACGTGGGACGAGGACGAGGATGATGAGGACGGCCCTTCCCTGGCGCAGCCCCCCCCGCACTTCGGCTTCGGGCCCCGCGGTGCCTTCGAGGAGCTGTTCCGGGACGTGGGCGAGCTCCTGGGGCTGTTCGGCGGCGCCTGGGCCGGGCTCCCGCTGCCCTCCGGCGAGCAGGAGGAGCGGCTGCCCCCCCCCGAGCCTGCAATGCCCAGCTCCGGCGAGGGGCGGCGGCTGCGGGACTCAATGCTGAAGCACCCGGAGAGCCTGGCCCAGCCATGGAGCCCCTTCCTGGGGGTGAGTGAGGCTCTGCCCCGCGAGGGGCCGGCTCTGGTGGCCGCTGGGGTGTCCTCTGTGTCACCAGTGCGTGCTTTGCCTTGCAGCTGGACGATGCTTCCCCGTCTTCTCCCAGCCTCAAGGCAGATCAGGGTGGGTGCCGCAGGGTCCCTGCCCACTCGGTTCACCCTGCCCCATGCTGCTGTCACCATCTCACGTCTGCCCCCTCCCCAGACCTGGACTCGCAGGTCTCCTCCGCAGGGCTGGGCACCATCCTGAGACCCAGCGAGCCCAAGGCTCACTCTTACTTCCAGAGCGTCTCTGTCACCAAAGTGACTCTGCCTGATGGGGTGAGTGTCCTCTGAGGGTGCAGCAAGGGGCAGCAGGTGAGCGGGGGACACTGTCCCCAGCACAAGGAGCGGAGCTAGGGCTGGTGGTGGGGCTCAGGGCTTGGTGGTGCTCTGCACAGGCGGTGGAGGAGTGCCGCACCGTGCAGGACAGCCAGGGCCGCCGGGAGACAACTGTGACACGCCGGAGGGGGGACCAAGCTTTCATCACCACCACCAAGGAGGACGGCCAGAGCAAAGACTACAGAGAGGAGGTGGTCAATACGGATGACCGTGAGTGGGGCACTGAGTAGAGTGAGGGGAGCAAGGCAGGGCCCCCCATGAGCCAGCTCTCCTTGCTCTCCCAGGGGAGCTGGCGCAGTTTGCAGGCACATGGCCGCCAGAGGACAATCTCCACCCTCCCAACCTGAGTGACCCATCCTCTGCGCTGGGCAGCTTCTTCCGACGCTGGTTCTCAAGCTGGTAGCTGTGCCCAGCCTGGCTGAGCACCCCGTAGGTGTGATGGGTGGGGGGACTGTGGGGCTCACCAGGGCTATGGGGATGGATGAATGGATGGGTGGACACTGGCAGCAGCCTCTTCTCACTGCCTGTTCCTGTTACAGATGGATCAGATCCTCCTGGGAGGTGGTCTCTGGGGGCTGCCTGTCTTCTGCAGAAGGACCCCTTGGGGGGCTGAGTGTGTGTGTGCATATGTGTACAGAGAAATAAAGTCTATTTATGGTAATGGTGACCTGCCAGGCTCCTTCAGGCCAGAACCTGCCCGATGCAGAGCCAGGAACCCACCAAGTGGCTCCTGGGTGCAGGCAGTGATGGGCTGCTCTGTGCCGATCCCTGCCCACCATGTCTGGTCTCCTGTGCTCCTCTCAAGGAACCAGCCCAGGACCCGTTCCAAGGCTTCTTCATTCCTCTTCATTAGTGCTGCCTGTGAGCAGGGATCCGGCAGGGAAAAGCAGAGCTCCCTGGAGCACACCCACCTGTGCTGGCTCAGCAGAGCCTGGGGACCTGCGGGGGCTCTGCTCCTACCGGGGCCACACTGCTGTCCCCAGCCCCACGCAGGACTCTGGTCCCTGCGAGGCGTCTCCCTGTGCTGTGGCTCCAATTGGTGTAAAGTCTGCACATTATCACCCAGCACCAGGGCTCATAAAACCTGGCTGGGACAGAGCCCGGCATCACCGTTGCTGCTGCCTGCTCCTAGCCAGCCCCATGGGCACCACTTCCTTCTTGAAGAGTGCCCGGGCTCTGCTCCACATCCAGAACCAGCTGGTGCGGGAGTGCCTGGCTGAGATGTTGGCCGTCCTCGTGCTCATCGTGAGTGGGAAACAGGGGGGTTTGGGGCAGACACTGGGGGATCCCAGGGCAGGGGGGGGGGTTGGGGCTCCACTGTGCTCATGGAGGAATTACCTGACCTCCTGCTTGGACCTGGGAAATGCTGCACCACAGTGGCTCGGGCACACCGTGGGCACGGGAGCTGCCATATGGCTCCTGAGGGAGCAGTGCTGGGTAGCACATACCTTGACACCTCTTGCCCTGCCTCAGACAAAGGTTGGGGCTCTGGAGCTGCACGTGGGGCTGCGTCCTGAAGGGCAGCACCTCTTCCCTGCTGCCTGCCCAGGAAAGCACACAGCATACTTTGCAATTAGAACCACAGTCAGGAGCAGTCACCACCTCCCTGCCTGTCTCCATGTGGTGCCCGAACCTGGAGCCAGGGGATGTGGCATGGAGATGGTGCAGGCAGCAGCACTGGAGCAGCCCTCACCTGGCTGATGCCCTGCTGCCTGGGTTCAGCGCTGATCCTGTCCCTGGGGAGCAGGCTGGGGGCTTGACAAGGGGCTGTGCTGGAGCCATGTCCCTCTCCTGCAGCTCATCACCCTGAGCGGCTCAGCGCAGATGGTCACCAGCTCTGAGTCCAAGGGGAACATCCTCACTGCCTACCTGGCAAGCGCCCTGGCCGTCATGGTGTCCATCTATATAGCTGGGGGAGTGTCTGGTGAGGCTGGGGAGGGGGCCCTGCTCCCGCTGTCCCCTGGCTCCAAGGACCCCCTGCTCCCACGCCTCTCCCCGCTCCATTGCAGGGGCCCACCTGAACCCAGCGTTCTCCCTCGCCATGTGCCTCCTGGAGCAGTTTCCCTGGTGGAAGTTGCCCATCTTTGTGGCCGTGCAGACTTTGGGAGCATTCGTCTCTGCTGGTGCTGTCTATGCTGTCTACTATGGTACAGGGCTGGGGGCCCGTGTCCAGTGGTTGTGTCAGGGTGACCAGGCTCCCCACACAGGCTCTGCCTTTGCTCTGCAGATGCCATCCATCACTACAGCAATGGGACCCTCACCGCCTCTGGCCCCCGGGAAACTGCCTCCATCTTTGCCACCTACCCTGCTGACTACCTGTCCCTCTCCAATGGCTTCTTGGACCAGGTGGGTGCCAGGGTTGGCTCCCCCCAGCCTGGCGGCACTGGTCCCCCCGGTGCTGAGCTGTCACACCGGCCCTGCAGGTGGTGGCCACGGCACTGCTGATTGTGGGCATCCTGGCCATCCTGGACACCCGCAACAAAGGTGTCCCTAAGGGCCTGGAGCCAGTGGCAGTGGCCCTGCTGGTGTTCTCCCTCGAGGCCTCCCTGGGCTCCAACTGCAGCTGCCCCATGAACCCTGCACGGGATTTTGGGCCCCGACTCTTCACCTGTGTGGCAGGTTGGGGCACAGAGGTCTTCAGGTGGGTCGAGGTAAGGGGGTGAAGGTGGGGAGCATGGGGGTGACACCTTGCCCACTATGCCCCGTCCCCAGCAGGGGCAATGGGTGGTGGTGGGTGCCGGTGGTGGCACCGATGCTGGGAGCCGCTGTGGGCTCAGCCCTGTACCAGCTCCTCGTGGCGTTTCACCACCCGCTCCCGGAGGGCGCTGCCGCAGCAGAGCAGAGCCCCCCGGTCCTCAGCATCGCTGCCGTCCCCACGGACCCCAAGACCTCACCCGCAGAGGAGGACACCGGGAGGACGCTGCCCCAGAAGTGACGCTGGAGACACCCCCTGCCCCGAACCGGCGGCACCGGCCCCCACGGCCCCCATTGCACCAATAAACGAGCCCTGAGGCCGCGGGGTGTCTGTGGGGTGTCGATGGGGTATCCATGGGGTGCCCGTGGGGTGTCCATGCAGCGGCCATGGGTTGTCTATGGGGTGCCCGTGGGGTGCCCGTGGGGTGTCCATGCAGCGGCCATGGGGTGTCCGTGGGGTGCCCGTGAGGTGCCACCTCCCTCTCACAGGACCCCGCTCCCCCCCCCATCACTTCCGCCGCCGACCGGCGCCGCCGCGGCCATGGGGCGCTGAGCCGGCAGCAGCAGCGCGGCAGCGGGAGCGGGGCCGCAGCGGCCCCGGTACCGGCCCCCGGCCCCGGCCGCCCGCCCGCTCCCCATGGGCTGCGGGGCCGCGAGCCATGGAGCGGTGCGCGTCCCGCCGGGCCCCAGGTGAGCGGGGGGGGGAGGCCGGTAAGGCCGCGGGAGGCCCCGGTGGGCCCCTGTACCGCGGCGGAGCGGGAGGGCCCGGGCAGGGGCTGCGGCAGCGCGGGATGGAGCCGCAGCCGTGATCGTGCCTCGGGAGGTGCCCGAGAAGTGGCCGCGGGTCCGGGAGCCCCGCGGGGCGGTGCGGGCGCGGCGGGGCCGGGCCGCGGGGACGGGAGGGGTCGGGGGGCTGAGGGCAGCGCCCGGGCTGTGTTGCAGAGGAGGAGCGGCGGGTGCGAGCCAACGCGCGGGACTACAACGAGAAGTTCCAGTACGCAGTGAGTGCTCTGGGGGGGAAGCGAGCGGCTCGGAGGGGGCTGGCACCGGGTCAGCGCCGGGGGGGGGTTACAGCTAAAATTAGATGTTTATCCCTGAGACAATTGTGCTGATGAGCATCACACGGGACTGCACGGCACTGCATTGCACTGCACTGCACAAGACTGCATGGCACAGCACTGCACTGCTCATCACTGCACTCTGGTCCCTCGGTACCAGCCGCTCCTTGGGTACTGGTTGGTCCCTGGGTACAGACAGGTCCCTGGGTACTGGTGGGTGACCCAGGGGAAGAAATCTGCTTCTTGAGGAAAAGTTAGAGGAGGGGTAGGAGCTGCTGGGCTGAGATCCCAGGTTAGGGCCATGGTGAGCTGCAGCTCTCAGAGTGATGCTGGGACCACAGGGGCCTCAGCAGCTCATGAACCCTCCCTTTTGTCCTGTCCATCCCCAGAGCAACTGCATCAAGACCTCCAAGTACAACATCATCACCTTCCTGCCTGTCAACCTCTTCGAGCAGTTCCAGGAAGTGGCCAACACCTATTTCCTCTTCCTCCTCATCCTGCAGGTGAGTGCTGGGGTCCTGGGGAGCCAGATGGGGCTCTTCCATCATCTCCTTCCCTGGCTGGGCAGCTGGGGGGGGCCAGGACACATCCTGCCCTTGGGAAGTGTGGGTTTGACACCCTTGAGCAGGGATGGTGTGGGCCTGGGGCTGGCCTGGTCCCCCCCAGCTCCCACTCTCTGTCCCCAGCTGATCCCACAGATCTCTTCACTCTCCTGGTTCACCACCATCGTGCCTTTGGTTCTTGTCTTAACCATCACAGCTGTCAAAGATGCCACGGACGACTATGTGAGTGGTTCCCCACGTGCCCCTCTGTTAGGGCCAGGGGACTTGGGGCTGTGACCCTGGTGCGGGTGTGCAGGGGTAGGGCTGCAGGACCCCATCCCCAGCAGAGCTGACGGCGCTGTCTTCCCCTCTGCACCCAGTTCCGCCATAAAAGTGACAACCAGGTGAACAACCGGCAGTCTCAGGTGCTCATCAGTGGAGTGTGAGTGTCACAGGGACAGGACAGCCAGGGAGGGGGCATGGCCCCCCCCAGGACATGGCACAGGGCTGCAGGCAGGGGAACAGAGCGCTGCCAACTCCCACCTAACTCCACTGCGCTGTCTCCCTGCAGCCTCCGACAGGAGCAGTGGATGAACGTCCGTGTTGGAGACATCATCAAGCTGGAGAACAACCAGTTCGTGGCGGTGAGTGTGGCCCCAACACAGGAGTGGTCCTGGCTTGGTGACACACAGGGACAGTGGCATGGCATGGTGCTCCTCCATCACCTGGGGTGGAGGTGTCAGGGACTTCCCCACTGGGAAGTTGCATTTAGGATGTAGCATTGGAGCTCTGGAGATTGCCTGATGTGGGTCCTTCAGGAGCTGGTGTCCAGGGTGCTAGCAGCACCATGCTGAGTACACCTGGTTCTGGACCCTGCTGGCCCCTGGCTTCCCTGTGGAAGGTGTAGGGGACCCGGTGTCAGCACAACCCTTCCCATGTCTCTCCTGGCAGGCTGACCTCCTCCTGCTCTCCAGCAGTGAACCCCATGGGTTGTGCTACATAGAGACTGCAGAGCTGGACGGGTAGGTAACCCCTGCTCACCTCGAGTGACAGGGGAAGGCAAGAGGTAGGAGTGAGATCAGGGCAGGGCAGGAACTGCTGGGGACCCAAACCTAGGGAGCATCTGCTGCCTCTAACCCCACATGTGGTGCCTCCTTGCTCGCAGAGAGACCAACATGAAGGTGCGACAGGCCATCCCTGTCACCTCAGAGCTGGGTGACACCAGCAAGCTGGCTCGGTTTGATGGTGAGTGCCTGTGACCAGCCCCTGGATTTTCTCCTCCATCATCTTGGCATGGGCCCACCCTGGAGAGACCAGGACCATCCCTGCACTGTTGTGGTCCTACGGTTTGAATCAGATCTCTGGGGAGCTGGGGACAGTGCTGGGAGCACTGGGATGGAGCTGAGCACGTAGAGAAGGCGTGTTACAGCCAAGCCATCCCCTGTGCCCAGGTGAGGTGATCTGTGAACCCCCCAACAACAAGCTGGACAAGTTTGGAGGGACGCTCTACTGGAAGGAAAGCAAGTACCCCCTGAGCAACCAGAACATGCTGCTGCGGGGCTGCGTCCTGCGCAACACCGAGTGGTGCTTTGGCCTCGTTGTCTTTGCAGGTAGGTTGGGACAGCAGCCACCACTGTCCTGCACACAAGGGAGAAAGCCCCTGACACCCTTCCTTCCTCCAGGGCCTGACACCAAGCTCATGCAGAACAGCGGCCGGACCAAGTTCAAGCGGACGAGCATCGATCGGCTGATGAACACGCTGGTGCTCTGGGTAGGCAGGCAGATCCCAGGGAGCCCCGGCTGTGGCCTCCTTTGGGCTCTGATGTTCTGTCCTGTCCCCAGATCTTCGGGTTCCTGGTGTGCATGGGGGTGATTCTGGCCATTGGCAATGCCATCTGGGAGCATGAGGTGGGCGTCTGCTTCCAGATCTACCTGCCCTGGGACGAGGGGGTGCACAGTGCCTTCTTCTCGGGCTTCCTCTCCTTCTGGTCCTACATCATCATCCTCAACACTGTGGTGCCCATCTCACTCTACGTAAGGTAGGGCAGTGACAGAGGGGCTGGGGATGTGCGAGGGGCAGGCACCAGGAATTAGGGGTGCCTTCTGGGGAGGGGAGATGGGGATGGAGACCCACGGGCAGAGCTGTGTGCATGGGGTGGGCACGGGCTGCTCTCCTGGTGATGGGCCATGTCTGCCCTTGGAGATACCCCAAGACCTGAGACCCCACAGGTCCCTCAGGCCCCCCTGGCTGTGTCTGGCTGCTCGTCTCTCCCTGCCCTGGCTGCATGCTGGTTATTTTGCTCTGCCTTCCTGCAGCTCCCAGGCTCCTGCACTGTCCCCTTCTCTCTCTCTTTTAATTTCTCTCTCTTTTCGTTCCCCAGCATGGGTTCTGTCACCCTTAGCCCCGAGGTAAGAACGTGTCGCCCCCACCCCTGCCCCTAGTTCATTGCTGTCTGCCCTGGGGGCTGGGGAGGGGGTTTGGGGACATGCCCAGGGAACCCTACGGGCTCCCCCCTCGGTGCCAGGCCCTGCGACCCCAGCCCTGGCTTGGCAGTGGCTGTTGGTAGGAGCGGGTGCAGACCAGCCCCGGGGAGGGGTGCGGGAGCCAGCAAGCAGCATGGGGGCCCTGGGTGCGGGGGTGACCCAGGCAGCTGGGGGCCTGGGGTGGGGAGGGTGTGCCCGTCACTGGCTCAGCAGAGCTTCCCTGCCCCGGTGACGCATGGCTGTCCCCCCTGCAGTGTGGAGGTGATCCGCCTTGGGCACAGCTACTTCATCAACTGGGACAAGAAGATGTACTGTGCCAAGCGCCGGACACCAGCCGAGGCCCGGACCACCACCCTCAATGAGGAGCTGGGGCAGGTGGAGTACATCTTCTCTGACAAGACTGGCACCCTCACCCAGAACATCATGGTCTTCAGCAAGTGCTCTGTGAATGGGCACAGCTACGGTGAGCGCAGGGCACGGGGGATGGGCTGGGCGTGCCTGCAGGGGGTGGGTGCACCAGGTCCCCTCCTGCAGACCCTGGGGGGGACGAGAGGGCTCAGCCATAGCGTGGGGGCACCCCTGGGCATGGGTGCTGGTGGAGCCACAGCGGTGGGGCCCTTTCCTGGTTAACCTGTGCCCTGGTTCACAGGTGATGTTCAGGACGTGCTGGGCCACAAGGCAGAGCTGGGAGAGGTGAGAGTGCCACAGGGCTGGTGCCTGGCCATGCCGCTGCCCGCAGCAGCATAACCTCACCTCTGTCCCTCCCAGCGGCCAGAGCCGGTTGACTTCTCCTTCAACCCACTGGCGGACCCCCGGTTCCAGTTCTGGGACCCCAGCCTGCTGGAAGCCATCAAGCTGGGAGACCCCCACGTGCATGAGTTCTTCCGTCTGCTCTCGCTCTGCCACACCGTCATGTCCGAGGAGAAGAACGAAGGTGGGTGCAGAGGACAGGACCTGTCCCTGCTCCCTGTGTGGCTTGGGCTGTGGCGCAGCCTCTCACCCCTGTGCTGTCCCCAGGGGAGCTCTATTACAAAGCTCAGTCCCCAGACGAGGGAGCGCTGGTCACAGCCGCCAGGAACTTCGGCTTCGTGTTCCGGTCCCGTACCCCCAAGACAATCACAGTGCACGAGCTGGGCCGAGCCATCACGTACCAGCTGCTGGCCATCCTGGACTTCAACAACATCCGCAAGCGCATGTCTGTCATCGGTGAGACCCTGAGCCCTGCACAGGGGCTGGGAGGGCTGGGGGCTTGCTGCGGTGGACTTGGAGACCAGCCCCATGCAAATGGTGACATGACTGCAGAGGCATCATCGGCTCATGGCTGGAGGTAGGAGTGGGACCTGCTCCTGCTCCCCTGAGCCAGGCAGCTTGTTCCCTGCTCCCCACAGTGCGCAGCCCCGAGGGCAAGATCCGGCTGTACTGCAAAGGTGCTGACACCATCCTGCTGGAGCGCCTCCACCCCATCAACCAGGACCTGACCAATGTCACCACCGACCACCTCAATGTGAGTGTGGCAGGGTCCTGCTGGCAGGGCTGTGGAGAGAAGAGGAGCTGCCCACAGGCATGGAGCCTGGCGTGTGCCCTGCCCTGGAGGCCATCAGGGCCTGGGGACACCATCAAGGTCTGTCCCTTCACCTGACTCCGGCCACTGCAGGAATATGCTGGTGAGGGGCTGCGGACGCTGGTGCTGGCCTACAAAGACCTGGAGGAGAGCTACTACGAGGAGTGGTCTGAGCGGCTGCACCAAGCCAGCAGTGCCCACGAGGCCCGGGAGGATCGCCTGGCTCAGCTCTACGATGAGGTGGAGCACGATATGATGGTACGTGGGGGTGGGGGCACTGGGGAGTGGGAAGGGGCTGGGGTGCAGCCTGATCTTCTGCCTCTTTGGGTCCTCCAGCTGCTTGGAGCCACAGCCATCGAGGACAAACTGCAGCAGGGGGTCCCTGAAACCATCGCCATCCTGACGCTGGCTAACATCAAGATCTGGGTGCTGACGGGGGACAAACAGGGTGAGTAGTACTGGGGTGGGGGGCTGGCTGGAGATGAGGCTGCTTTCCTGGGGGTCAGTGGGACATGTGCTCCTCCTTGGGCTAGGCCTGGCTCAGCCCCTGGTTTCCCATCCCCAGAAACAGCCGTGAACATCGGCTACTCCTGCAAGATGCTGACGGACGACATGACCGAGGTGTTCGTGGTCACAGGCCACACTGTGCTGGAGGTGCGAGAGGAGCTCAGGTGAGGGTTGGGGGCAGAGGACATGCGTGAGGCTGGTGTGAGGCACAGCTGCGTGCAGGGAACGGGGGGTTACAGAAGTGCCCTCACTCGAGGCCCCCTGACCCTTCTCCTCCTCAGGAAAGCCCGGGAGAAGATGATGGATGCATCACACTCCACAAGCAATGGCTTCTCCTACCAGGAGAAACTCTCCTCTTCCAAGCTCACCTCTGTGCTGGAAGCCATCGCGGGTGAATATGCCCTAGTCATCAATGGGCACAGCCTGGTAGGGACCTGGGAGTGTGGCTGGATGGGGCACAGTGCTCAGCTCTGGGATGTTTCCCCAGCATCCCCCTGCTCTCCTTGCAGGCCCATGCACTGGAGGCTGACATGGAGGTGGAGTTCCTGGAGACAGCGTGTGCCTGCAAGGCCGTCATCTGCTGCCGTGTCACACCCCTGCAGAAGGCCCAGGTGGTGGAGCTGGTGAAGAAGTACAAGAAAGCTGTGACCCTGGCCATCGGGGACGGCGCCAACGATGTCAGCATGATCAAGAGTGAGTCCCGGGGTCTGGGCAGCAGCAGGAGGGACAGATCCCCACTTGCACTATCCCGTGGCAGCATCTGCCCTTGCCCCTTTGTGCCCTGCAGGAACATAGTCCCAGGGGAAGGGTGCCACCCCTGGTCCCTGTGCTCCTGGCAGAGCCCTCTTCACCCCACGTGTCTCTTCCCTCCACAGCCGCCCACATCGGGGTGGGCATCAGCGGGCAGGAGGGCATCCAGGCAGTGCTGGCCTCCGACTACTCCTTCTCCCAGTTCAAGTTCCTGCAGCGCCTGCTGCTGGTGCATGGACGCTGGTCCTACCTACGCATGTGCAAGTTCCTCTGCTACTTCTTCTACAAGAACTTTGCCTTCACCATGGTCCACTTCTGGTTTGGCTTCTTCTGCGGCTTCTCGGCACAGGTGGGTTGTTGGCTTCTCACGCTTGGAGTTGGAGAGGGTTTGCCCACGGGACCCCTCTGCTCTGAGGCATGCCCCAGTCCCAAGGCTCCCCATGGGGCCTCATCCTGCAGCTGCAGGCACAGCTTGGGATCCCTCCGGAGCGTGGCAGCATGTGGTGGGTGTGAGGAGCCCAGGGCATTGCACCACTTGGGGTGGGCACAGGGACAGCGGGGTACAGAGCAGGTCTGGTGTCCCCCTGAGCGCTCCATTTCATGCAGACTGTGTATGACCAGTACTTCATCACTCTCTACAACATCGTCTACACGTCGCTGCCTGTGCTCGCCATGGGGGTATTCGACCAGGTACAGTGGGGAGCAGTGCAGGGGCTCCCTGAGTGCACAAGTTGCTGGCCCCTATGTGGCCCATCTGCAGGAGGAAGGGCTGCCCGGGTGCCTGGGCTGGGCTGACCTTGTCTCTTCACGGTCAGCAGTGAAGGCTCGCCCAGCCCCAGGGAGCAGGTTCTGCCTGCCCAGGGCTGCAGGAAGGTGCCCAGTGTGCCCTGTGTCCCCAGGACGTGCCAGAGCAGCGGAGCATGGAGTACCCCAAGCTCTATGAGCCTGGACAGCTGAACCTGCTCTTCAACAAACGGGAGTTCTTCATCTGCATCGCCCAGGGCATCTACACCTCTGTCCTCATGTTCTTCATCCCCTATGGTGTCTTTGCGGACGCCACCCGTGATGATGGAGCTCAGCTGGCTGACTACCAGTCCTTTGCTGTCACTGTCGCCACCTCCCTTGTGATTGTTGTCAGTGTGCAGGTAGGGACATGGCTGCTTACAGGGAGCTGGCAGGTAGGGATGTGGCTGCTCAGTCTCTGCCCCTCACCAGGAACACAGCTGGTGAAGGCTTGGGTCCTATCCTGCCCCATGGCCATGCTTGGCGCACCACAGCTGTTCCCTGAGCCCTGCTTCTTCCTTCCCCTCTCCACCAGATTGGGCTGGACACGGGCTTCTGGACAGCCATCAACCACTTCTTCATCTGGGGCAGCCTTGCCGCCTACTTCGCCATCCTGTTTGCCATGCACAGCAATGGACTCTTCCAGATGTTCCCCAACCAGTTCCGCTTTGTGGGTGAGTGCCAGGGGAGCTGAGTGATGCACCCCACCTCAGCAGCATGCTACCCCAGCCCAGTTCTGTCTAGCTTCATGCTCCCCCCCAGGTAATGCACAGAACACGCTGGCCCAGCCCACAGTCTGGTTGACCATCGCCCTCACCACTGTGGTCTGCATCATGCCTGTTGTGGCCTTTCGCTTCCTCAAGCTGGACCTGAAGCCTGAACTCTCAGACACGGTGGGAGCACCTGACCATAGGGGCTGGGCATGGAGGGGTGTCCTCTTTCTTCCCTGGGGGTCCCTGATGTGTTCCCGGTGCTGTCCTCAGGTGCGCTACACTCAGCTCGTGCGGAAGAAGCAGAAGACCCAGCACCGGTGCATGCGGCGTGCAGGGCGTGTGGGCTCCCGCCGTTCTGGCTACGCCTTCTCCCACCAGGAGGGCTTCGGGGAGCTCATCATGTCCGGTAAGAACATGCGGCTCAGCTCCCTGGCGCTCTCCAGCTTCACGGCCCGGCCCAGCACTGGCTGGATTGAGACCCTGCGCAAGAAGAAGGGCAGCGACAGCAGCACCGCTGGCAGCCCCAGCAGTGCCGCCAGCAAGACTCTCAAGGTGTGAGGCTGGGGAAGGGGGGGGCATGTCCCCTCCCATGCAGTCAGGGATCCTCCTTCTCTCACAGTGGCCTGGGGGGTCCCAAGCAGGAGGACAGAGGCCACGTGTGCCCCTGAGGTGTTGGTGGAGTTTGGACTGTCATGACGTAACCAAAAAGTCTTTTTACCCCATCCCTGGGAGGGATGGACGCACGGACACTGCCCCCAGCAGCCCTCCCTGGGCTGCTTCTCTGTCAGTATTCACCTCCACAAAGTGCAAGTACCCCAATCACACGTGAATGTATCATGCCAGAGACGCTGCTGTGGGCAGGCGTGGAGAGTTGGGGGTGCTGTGACAGCAGCCTCCCTCTTCCCTCCCCCTCCTCCCCCGTGTCTTCTTTTTATATCAAAATAGAGAAAAAAAACCACCAAAAGAAACCCACAAAAAACACACAAAACAGACAAGGAAGGACAGACGCCCTACAACTGCTTCGGCCTGTGTTGCACACGGTGATGGAGAGAGCGGGGAGGCCGTGGCCCTGGGGCGCTCCGGAGCCGGGGGATGGGCTGGGAAAGGGGAAGCGTTCCCCGGGTCCTTCCCTGTCTCTGCGGGAGCAGCAGCCGTGATTCACTCCCACACCCAACACTGGGCTCTTGCACAACTTTCAGCCTCCGCTTCCTCCCTGCTCTTCCTCCCCGCGCCAGCTCCTGGGGTCCCCACCGGGGGATCGCTGGGGGGGGGGGCGGTCGGGGGTCTCTGTGATACCAAAGAGGAATCCGGTTCAAAACGGGCTCTGGCTTGGGCTGGAGTCGATTTTTCGGGAAGTTCGGGAGTTTCTTTGTGTCGGGGTGGGGGACGCGAGGATCGGGGCGTCTAATTTATTACACGTTTCTATAGTGCGGGATTGTCAAAATCACGGGACCGCAGCAGGAAAAAATGAACCAAAACCCAGCGTTTTCTATATAAAAACAACCACAAAGTTGTGCGCAGCCGTGTCCTGTGTCCTTCGGGGGGGGACGGGTACTGGAGGCGGCAGCAGGTGCGGGGCACCGGGAGAACAGAGCGGGGGGGGTGGCTGCTTTCCCCCCCCTTCCCCCGGTGCTGGCCCCGCCCCTCCCGGGCGCACGTGCTGGAGCCGTCCCCGTTCCCCGTCTTGTCCCGTCGCGGTTTCACAACCGCGGGCACCGGCAGCAACGCGCACGGCTCCGCCGATGTCCTGCTGCCTGCAGCCGCTCATTTTCCTCCTCTTCGCTGCCGCCGCCGCTCCCCGGCAGCCCTGCGGCCCCTTGGGTGAGTGCGACCGGGAGCGGGGCATGGAGCAGGGGGACACTCGCCACCCCCATGACCACCCTTCCGGCAGGGCTCCCCCCCCACCGGTACCGGAGCCATGGGAGAGGGGGGTAGGCAGTTCCCGGCGGAGATCAGCACCGCGGGCTCAGAATGGGTGCTGGGGGGGGGGGGGGGGGGCGCTGGGTGCTGGGAGTGCTGGAGGGTGCTGGGGGTGCTGGAGGGTGCTGGGGGTGCTGGGAGTGCCGGCTGCTGGAGGGTGCTGGGGGTTCTGGGTGCTGGGGGTTGCTGGGTGCCGAGCGTGGTCCCGGCAGCAGGAACAGCAGCTCCGCGGTGGTTGTTGACCTTTGCAGAGGGAGCCGGGAGTGCTGCCCCGGGCGGCCTCCCCTGGCCCGGGACCAGCCTGGGCCTCTGGCCTGGGCCGCTTTAACCCCCCAGCGCCGGAACCCGGCATCCCCGGAACCCCCGATCCCAGCCGTGGCTCTCCCGGTGCTCCCCTCACAGCGCTGCCAGGCCGGGTCCCACCACCTGATGCTGGGGGGGTTCCCGTGTGCCGGGGGGGTCGTCCACCTTGACCAACTAGATGGGGAATCGCTGACTCAGCAGGAGCTGCTGCTCGGAGCCTCCTGCAAATATTGACTCTGAGCAGTGGCGTACGGGGAGCAGGCAGTGGCGGTGGGGGTCCACCCCCAGCGCTGGAGACACGCTGGGGTCTTGTCTCCATTGCCGAGACGCTCTCACCCCCCCAGGGCTCTCCCACGACACAGTGCTGGGCCGCCCCGGAGCGAACATCACTCTGAGGTGCTGGGACGAGGGTCCGGGGAACGTCACCGTGTCCTGGCGGGTGGAGGAGTGGGGCCGGAGCCAGCGGCTGCCCGCGGGGAACGCGCTGCCCCTGCACCGCCTGCGCCACGAGGACGCGGGCACCTACAGCTGCTTCGTGGGGAGCCACCGCCTGCGCTCGCTGCGGTTGCTGGTGCAAGGTGGGTCTGCGCCAGGGCACGGGGGGCCCTCGTAGCACCGCCAGGTGTGAGGGGTCCCCCAGCGCCTCCCTGCTTTGCAGAGCCCCCTGAGACCCCTCGCGTCTCCTGCTACCGGCGGAGCCACGACCACGACGTGCTGTGTGAGTGGCCGCTGCGGGCCAAGCCATCCCCGGGGACAAGGGCGATGCTCTGGGTGAAGCAGAGGTGAGGGATGGCCAAGCACCTACATGGGACCTCACGGCACGGCAGCTTCACAGGTGGCTCTGTCCCCGAAGCTGCCCCATGTGTGCCACAGCCCCGGCTGAGCCACCACCCCGCAGGTTCACAGCTGAGAACGCCACGGAGCAGCGGTGCCGCTTCTTCTCCAAGTCACAGAAGTTTGTTTGCCGGGTGAAGGTGCCCCGCGGGGCTGATGACATCAAACCCCTCCTGGTGTCCACGTGCGTCAGCAATGGCGCTGGCAGCGCAGCCGGCGAGGACAAGATCATCACCCTCAATGGTGTATGTGAGTGCTGCTTGCCTCTTGATGGGGTTGGGGCTGGCTGAGCAGCTCAGTGCCAGGACCTGATACCCCAGTGTCTCAGCAGTGAGGCCCGATCCCCCCCTCAATGTGACGGTGACAGCTCTGGAGAAGGCGCCGCAGCGGCTGCGGGTGAACTGGTCCTACCCTTCATCCTGGGATCACCGCTTCTACTGGCTCCGCTTCCAGGTCCGCTACCGCCCCGAGCCTGCCCGGACCTTCAGTGAGGTGAGACCCTGGCCCAGCTGCCCATGCCCATGTCCCCAACCCTGTGCTGTCCATGTCCCCAGCCCCGTGCTGCCCATGTCCCCCCAGGTTGACCAAGTGACAACAACATGGCTGGACATCCATGACGCATGGCGGGGACTGCAGCATGTGGTGCAGGTGCGGGCACAGGAGGAGTTTGGCCACGGTGCATGGAGCGAGTGGAGCCGGGAAGCAGTGGGTGCTCCATGGACAGGTAGGAGGGGGGCACATGTGGCCCTGAAGCTGGGGGTTCAGCACAGGGTCTCCCCATTACAATCCCCCCCCATCACTTTGCAGACCCCAAGGACCTTAACTCTGAAATGGGATTCTTCAGCTCCCAGGTAGGGCTTAGCCCCAGGGGAACATGCTACACTCTTAGCTGGGTCTTGTGTCCCTCCGTGGGACAAAGGGACACTAGGGTGGGGGGGCTGCCCAATCCCATAATGCCTCCCCTTGCCTTCTCTTGCAGTTCCCCATGGAGGATGGCACCTACGGGCTCACACTGCCTCCCGAGCTCTTTGTGGAAGATGGTGCTGATGGCACTGGTGGTGAGGAGAAGGCCCTGGGGTGGCAGTGGGGTGGCTATGACCCCCAGGTCCCTGATCCCCACAATGAGCCCATCCCCTCCTCTATGCCCAGGGCCCATCATGGAAGCCAGTGCCCGCTCCACAGCATCGCCTTACACCTTCCTGGTGGCCGGGGGGAGCCTACTCCTGGGCATCGCCCTCTGCATTGGCATTGTGCTGAGGTGAGTGCCTGGGGGGGGCACAACACAATTCGGGGTGGGGGGATCCACTTTACCCCCCCAACCTGGGCCCTCTGTTCCCTCCTGCAGGTACCGGCAGCTCTGGTGGATGGATGGGTGGCGGGGGGCAAAGCCAGAGGGTGAGGGGCAGCATGTGCTGGTACCCCTGGGCTCTCCCAGTCCCCCTCCTAGTGACACCCCCCTGCTCTCCTCGCCCTGCTCCCCAGCCTCTGGGGGGCTCCATGTCACCAGCCTGGACTACTTCTTCTCAGGGCAGTAGCTGGGGTCTGGATGAGCTGTTGGGCACTTGCAGGTTGGGTTGGGGGACTCCTGGTCCTGGGGGTTCCTGGGGCTTAGGATGTGGCCCTGGGAGCAGCGTGTCCCCCCCACTACCCAGAGATGATGAAAGTGTCCCCAAGTCCCATGGCTGGGAGAGGAGATGGCGGAGGGGAGATCTGCACCCTCCCTACAGAGACTGGCTGGGGGGGGGCAAGCTGTGTCCCAGGGGGCAGCTCTGGGGCCGCAGCCAAGCTGGGGTGGCTGCACTGGAGCGTGGGAGCAGGGCTAGGCTGTGCCCAGAGGGATGGGGCTGGGGGGCCCGTGGGGGGGGCACCGGCAGGGCCTGGCTGGATCAGCCCCATCCCACAGGCCCCCCATGGTGGGGAAATGGGGCAAAACGTGTCTCAAATAAATGCCTTTGGTTTGTAATGGAGCAGGTGCATTAGGGGGGGGTCACTGCAGCTGGGGGGGCTGAGGGGAGGTTGGGTTGTGCCCCCCTCCCAGTCCAGGCCAAGCACCCCTCATCTATCCCCCATATGCCTTGCTGTGCACCCTAAACAAGTGCCCCATGTTGTGCCCCCCCCATGCTACCAAGTGCCTCCCAGGCTGTGCCCATCCCATGCTGGGTTGTGTGAGGCCCCAGGGAGCTGCAGCTGCACCCAGGCAGGAAACCACAGCGCAAGGGGAGGGGGGACCGGGCACCCTGGGGACACCGTGTCCCGTCGTCCCCCGTCCCCCCCCCCCAGCCCCACTCTATAAAAAGCCTGGCAGGATGCAGATGGGGGGGGGGGGGTGCCCAAAACCGCTGCCCCCAAACCCAGTGTGGCTTCTGCTGGCACGAATGGGGCTGTTCCTGGCTTCTGCCCTCCCAGCTAGGCTGGTGCCTATTGGGGGGGGGGGGAGGGGTCTGAGCCTGAGGCAGCCCCCCCAGCCCTGAAACCCTGCTCCACAGCTGGCAGCCGGCCACACGGGGGCCCAGCAGGGAGAGGGCTGGGTTCCTCTTTTCACCCTCCAACAGCGCCCACAGGCAGGGAGAGCACTGCCCATCCTGGCACCCTCGGGGCCCCCATCCCCGTGCCACATCACAGCCCCCCACCTCCGCCCCCGGCCACCTGCCTCCTCTCAGCCAACACGTTTATTTCACTTCTCCGTTACACGTCCCAGCCTCGCTGCGCCCCCCTCACCCCGGCACCGGGTCGGCTCCAGCAAGGGGCTGGCAGGATCCGTCCTGGTGCAAGGGGAGCGCAGGCGGCCGGTGCCCGGCGGCAGCAGCAGGACGGGGATGCGGGGTCCTTTGAGGACCCTGCCCCACGCCGCAGGGCTGGCGGGGGTCGCGGGCCAGTCGGGAGGGGAGGCATTAGTGGGTGCTAATGCAGCTTGCAGTGCACGGGGTGTAGCAGGGCCATGTGCTCGGCCCCCTTGAAGGGCAGCTTCTCGGTGGAATAGTAGTGTACTACCTCGGGGACGCTGGCGAAGACGCCGCTGGCCTGGCTGAGCGTGTACTTGTTGTCCTTGGTTTGGGCCACGATGATGTGGACGCAGCCCTGGCTGGTCCTGGGCGGCCGGTGCGGGGCGTCAGCGGTGCCGCCACCCCCCGGCGCCCGCCCGCCCCGCGGCCGCATCCACCCCTGTTTGTTCCCGTCCCACTCCGATTGTTTCGGCTCCAGGGGCTCCGCTTCCTCAGGAAGGAAACGCCACCGGCGCTGCCGACAATGCGCCGGGGAAGGGGGGGGGGACCGCCACCACCAATCCCCCCAGTCGCCCTGCGGGTGCGGGGACGGGTCCGGCTGCTCCCACCCCATCACTGGGGCTCTCCTGCAGTATTCCCCCCCCCCCACCCCAACCAGGGACACACGGCCCCGTCCGGCTCCGCGCAGCCACTCACTTGAGCGCGATGGAGTATTTGCCGCTGCCGGTCTCGCTGGTGCGCACCAGGAACCCGGCCTCTCGGCATGCCTGCAGCCGGCTCTCGGCCTCTGCCCGTGTGATAGCCCCGTGGTACCAGCTGCGGGGGGACGCGGGGGACGCTGAGCAGAGGCCAAGCCACAGGGACCCCCCCACCCCTTTCCGTTTCCTGCCCCGGCTCGGCCTCGCCACTCACGGCTGCTTCTCCAGCGCCAGCCCGGGGTCCACCCTCTCCCCTTCGCTGTGCTCGGGGCCTGTCGGCTTCAGCATCTTGGGGGTCCAGCTCTTCTGGCGAAGGTGCTGCCGCGGCACCTCCTCCTTGGGCCGCTCTGAGCCCTCGAACTGGACTGAGGGGGAGGATGACAACGAGAAAAGAGCTTTGAAAGACGCTTCCCTGCCACCCCCATCCCCACCTCTGTCCCTGTCCCCAGCCAGTCCACCCCACCCTGAATGAGCAGAGACATCTCCAGCTGCATCAGGATGCTCCAAGCCCCTGTGTCCAACCTGGCCTTGAGCACTGCCAGGGATGGGGCAGCCACAGCTTCTCTGGGCACCCTGTGCCAGCGCCTCAGCACCCTCACAGGAAAGAGCTTCTGCCTAAGAGCTCAGCTCAATCCTCCTCCTTTAGTGCAAAATCACCTCCCCTTGTCCTATCACTACAGGCCCTACTAAAAAGTCTGTCCCCATCGTCATCCTCATCCCTCTCCCCATCCTTGTCCCCATCCACATCCCCATCCCTGTCCCCTACCTGACAGTGCTTTGACAATTTGCTCCTTCTTCCACTCCCAGGGCTGCTCGTACTCCCCCGCCGGGCGCTCATCATTCTCAGGCAGGCGCCCGTCCCCGGCCCTTGGCCTGCGCTCTGGGGTGCCCCCAGTCACCCCTTCTCCGGGCTCATAGGGGGTGTCGTAGAGCTGTGGCCCCTTCCCCACTGCCTCCTTGCTCCCCGGCCACTTGTCTGACTCCAGCTTGCCCCCTCCCTCCCCGGGCTCGCCAGGCCCGTCCAGCAGCAGGATGGCTTTGACCAAGGGGTCTTTGGAGCCACGACGGCGGATTTCTGTGGGGAAGAGGGACTGTGCATCAGGGAAAGGCTGAGACACCCACCACTGCCACCCCAGCGCCTGTCCTTGGGGAGGGACATGCACCCCATGGCAGGAATGTCCCACTGGGAGGTGCTGGAGGAGGACAGGGCCCATCCTCGTGGCACCTGGCCTGCTGTTACCACACACACCTATGGGGCCAGGAGGGGTCTATGGCAGCAGGATGCTACACCCCACACTGCAGCTCAGCCCCACAGGAGGCTCCACAGCCCCTGGCCCCCTGCTTCACCCCACAGCGCCAGGCTCTGCCAAACGGCCCCGGCTGCCCCACATGGAAAATAACCATCAGCAGCAAAGCTTTTATTTCCAGCTTCCGGCCAAGTCAGTTCCTGTTGTTGTGGCTTAGCTGGGCAGGCGCCACGGCTGGGGGTCACTGCCTGGGGGGCACTGCACGGCACGTACCTGTGATCATCTGCTGCGCGTCGTAGGGCTCCATGTACCCGTCGTTCTCACCCAGGCGCTCGGCATCCCGCTGCCCCTTGGTGCGCTTGGCATCATAGGGATCGGCATAGTCCTCCAGGATGATGACCTGGGGACAGAATGAGCAGCATTGGCCATTGAGGGCTGCTAGGGATCCCCATCGGTGGTGGGGTGGGAGGGGATGGTGGGGATGACACTGGTTCAGAGCCAAGCAGGATGGGGGGAGGGATACTGGGGTCCCACGGGCAGGATGGCAGCTCCTTATGGGGTAGATGGAGCTGTGCCACAGCCATAGGGGCACCTCTGAGGGGGGGCAAGCCCATCCCTGTGCACCCCGGTAGTGGGGAGAAGCCTGAGGGGTGGGGCGGGGCTCAGGGACTCTTTTGGGTGACACCCGCACCCCCCACCCCATCCCAGTGCTCGGGGAGCGGGGGGTGGGGTGGAAAGTCCGGCTTCCAGAGCAGCTTTGTGTAAGCCTTTGTTTAACCAGCGCCGGGTCAGGGTGTGCTGGCATCCGAGGGGTCGGCGCTCCCCGCTGAAGAGCAAGCGGGATGAAGAGAGCTTTGAACGGGACTTGAAGGCAGCACGATGAAAGGCCGGGGTGAGCCGTGCTAATGAGCTGCTGCAGTCCACAGCGGTTAAAGCCGCCCCAGCAACCCCACATTTCCCTCCTTACCGTCTCTGTCTTGGGGGTCTTGCCCTTGTCCTGCTCGGGTGCGGGCGGGGGACAGGGGTACCCCTTCCAGTTCTTCTCGTGGGCCTCCACCTTGATGAGGCGGTTGATGTAGGTGCCGCAGGGTTTGGGGGGTCCCTCCGGTGCCACCCCTTCCACTCGGGAGTTCTTCCGCATCTTCCCGGTGGCGGCTTGGAGCAGACCCTGCAGGTTGTCCCGGGACAGCCGCCCCCCACCCTCCTTGCTGCCCCCCGGCCCGGCCCTGCAGCCTCCCAGCTCAGCGCCCGAGTTCTTGCGGCTCTTGCCGAGGCTGCCGCTGCCCGGCCGGGCCCGCTCCGAAACCGTCTTCAGGTTGGAGGGGAACTCCTTGAACCACTTGGCTGCCATGGGGCCGGCGCGGGGCAGGGCGCCGAGGCCCCCCCCCCGGGGCGCTCTGACACCCCACGGCCGCCCCACCGGCTCAGGGCCGGCTCAGCCGGGGGGCGCAGGGTAGCCCGGCTCCCCCCAGCCCTGGGAGCGCGACCCTCGGTGGCCTGGGGCCAGCCCGGGACTTGGGGGGATGCCGGCGGGGGGGCGGGGGGCTCCAGGCGGGACGGCCGCTGGGTCCCCAGCGGTGCCGGCTCCCGCCTCCCCGGGAGGGGACCGCGTCTCCGCGGGGGTCCCTGGCACACGAAGGCTGTCGGGGGTCGGGGTCTGTGCTCCAGCGGCGGGACGTGCCGGGGGCTCTTCCAGGCGTGGGGGGGGTCCGGCCGGGGCCGCCCCGGGCGGCTCCGGGTGTTTCTATCCCCTGAAAGGGGCCCGGGCGTCGCTGCGTGCTCCGGGGGGTCCGGCCAGGGCCCGTCTCCGGGGGCAGCGGGGATTCGGGTGCGGGTCAGGCCGGCCCGGGGGGCCCCATGCGGCGGCGGCGGGACGGGACGGGACGGAGCCGAAGGGGGCGGTGGGGCTGGCGCTCCCCGCCCAGATCCGGAGGGGGCGGCCCCGGGGGACGGCGCGGCACCGGCCGGGCGGGCGGGCACCGGCCCCGGCAGCGGTGGGGACCTGCGGTCAGATCCGCCCCGGGCCAGGGCCTCCGTCCGGCGGCTCCCGAGGGCTGCAGGAGGCTGATGGGACAGGGGAGGCTTGATCCCGCACCCGGGCCCCAGCACGGACCAGGTGTGTGGAGCCCAGTGGAGATACCCCACGGACCTTTCTGCATGGACCCTCCTGCCCACCCCCGGGTGAGGACCTCGGAGGCGGAGGGGGAGTGCTACTGACCCATCTACGACAGCCCGAGGGAAAGGAGCAGGTCGGGGGGTGCAGATAAAGGTGCTCCCCAGCCCCCAGGACGGGGC